TTCACTGATAATAATGCTGACAAATAACACAACTGCGCAGAAAACATTGCAGGTTGAAGCTAAGCTCCTCCCCCTGTCAGTCACTCCCAGCTTCAGTGTCGTATTAAATGTCTCCCCCAGCACCGCCTCTCCTCATCCTCCAAAGCCTCTAATCTGGCAGCAGTCAGGTCTCTTTCCAAGTCACAAGGCCATTCTCATCACACACTGACACCATGCTGGGGACCCTCTGCACTCTCATCACTGCTCTCACATGTGAGGAGGCTGACTTCCTGCAGCTTGGACTTCATGTTGGACTCATCAGTGTGTGTGTTTCTCTTGACTCCATGTCGTCTTGTTGTTTCCAGGTGTGAGTGGTGTGACGGTGGTGACACAGAAGCCTGTTGTAGCCGTGACGACAGGAGAGACAGTCTCCATAGACTGTAACCTCGGGACTGTTACTGGCCGTGCTGCTCGCTGGTATAAACAGATTCCAGGAGGAGTTCCTCAGTTTGTATTATATTATCATCACAGCTACAGCTCTCCAACATATGGCACTGGTTTCTCCTCTTCAAAGTTCACATCCACTCATCAGTCAACTACAGATTATCGTTTGACCATAAAGAACATCGAGGAGGGAGACTCAGCCGTCTATCACTGTGCAACATGGGACGACTCTGTTAATGAGTACGTATCACAGTGATTTACACTGTGACAAAAACCTCTTCACTGAGTACTTCTGCTTTTTGAGACGCTGACACATTTTGAGTGAAACCATCAGTCAATTTCTGTAGCTTATATTTCTTATAAACCCATTTATTCATCATACTAAATATAAATCTTACTTAGTGGTAGTTATTAATAGTTTTCCATGTATACACTATAGAAATCATTGTTTACAACAACAAGGACAAACAAATGACAATAACATTGACTCTAAAACTATGAGCACACTGAATACTGAAAAAATAAATATATTGCAAATATTTAATTAAAGTAATTCCTTGACTACATATAATATTCAAATGACATTAGCAGACTTACAAAAACAACAAACACGTCTTTTTGATCAACAGAATTCATGAAAAGTGTTGATGTGACTCACACACGATGTGTGTTTATGTGTAACAAGTGAATCAAGTGTTTAAGCTCCTCCTCACTGTCTTTATAAGCCTCAGTGTTTCTTCTCCTCACACTCCCGCCCTGCTCACCTCTCAGCTGGACTGTAAGGAATGTTTACAGCTCACACTGACAACATGCTGGGGATCCTCTGCACTCTGCTCACTGCTCTCACATGTAAGATATTCATTCATTCATTCATTTCATGCTCCATGTTTTCATGCACAAACCTTTCCCCTGACTTTTCCTCTGTGTGTTGACAGATGTTGATGCAGCGATAGTGCTGACTCAGACGCCTGCTGTCCACTCAGTTTCTACAGGACAAGAGGTTGTCCTCAACTGCAACATTCAGAGATATGATGGAAATTATGTCCACTGGTATAAACAGGTTCCTGGTGAAGCTCCTCAGTATGTTCTCAGTTTTCTCCATGGGGTCAATGATCTCGACTTTGGATCAGGATTCTCTTCAGACCGGTTCAACTCTAAATCCTCTTCAGACACAGAATACCAGTTCATCATAAAGCGTTCAGAGACAGGAGACTCTGCTCAGTATTACTGTCAGACATGGGATGACTCTGCTCGTGAAGCTGTATCACAGTGGTTCACACTGTGACAAAAACCTCCATCAGAGATCTACTGAAGATTTATTGATTCTCAGCTAAATCAGACACATCAAATAAGGGAAACTGCTTCAAAACATTGAAGGACAACAAATCAATTCCTGTGAAGAGACAATTCATTCTGGAGCAAATCAAACTGATGATGTTAGTGAGATGTTGACAATGAAAGTTGGTCTCAACAGGATCTTTCAGTTCCACTCCGTCATCAGAGCGAGTCGAGAGGTTTTTGTACAGCCATGTGTACCAACTGAATCACTGTGGTATTCGGACAAGGAACCAAGCTGATTGTGACAAGTAAGTACTTTAAATCTCTTCTTTTTGCGATTCTTTTGTTTCTACTTCATTTTAACAGAGATTTATGTAATACGTTAATCTTTTATTTCTTATACTTTTTGAAGATATTTAACATGTTGGATTACTTTCTTAACAAGTTGTTTTTTAGCAGAAAAATTTTTGTTGTAAAATGTTTTACTATATTGATTTCTGCTAATCACTGATAACTAACATTTAAAAACAATTTTAACAGCATCATACTTTAAAATGATCAATGTTAAATTCTGAATATGAATTTACTGAGTTTGTGTTGATTAACTACTAATATTTTAAAATGAAGGTCAAACTTTAATGTATCTTCTTTATTTAGTTTTAACACCACAATTGCTGGATTTTAAAAATGTATTAAAAAAGAGATTAAGATACATATAAGACTAAGTACAAATATAACAGTATTTAACATGAACAACATAGAACATCTCGTTGTATTATCTAGTTTGTTAATGATAGACTTTGTTTTTGAACTCTGCTCTGATGGTTTCTAAATGTTTTTTTGTCTTTCTCCTCAACTTACTAACAGATTCCTTTTGCCGCCATGATTTGCATCAATAGCTCCACTTCCCTTCATTTAAAGAATGCCTTTTGTGTGTTTCAGGCTCCAGCCTCCGTCCTCCCGTCCTCACTGTCTTTCCTCCGTCCAGTGCTGAGCTGCAGTCCAACAAAGCCTCTTTGGTCTGTCTGTCCAGTCAGTCTGGGCCTTTTGCAGATGTGACCTGGATGTCTGGAGGGAGTCCAGTGGTCACTGGGATCTCTACCAGCACCGCTGTTAAGCAACCTGATCAGACGTTCCACATCAGCAGCTATCTGGCCATCCAGGCGTCAGACTGGAACATGGATAAGGTTTACACATGTAAAGTGTCTTTGGGCTCCCAGACTGCAGAGAAAAACATCAAGAAGTCTGAGTGCCTCACTGAACAACAGTAGAGGAGCAGAAGGACCATTTAACATCTGCTTCTTCCCTCTTTGTGCTGTTTATTCATCACGAGCGTTACATGTTAGAACATGTGTCTCCACGCTTGTAGTACATGTTGTTGACAGTTAGGTAGAGGTGTTGTATCCGCTTTGCAAACGGTAAAATGTAGTGAAACCTTTTGAATAAAAAGCATTTTGTAAAACAACATATTTCTTGTCTTTTTATTACTGACAGAAAAGCATATTATACTCATAGTATTCTTTGACCTCAACTAAACTTCTGATCTCATCCTACGTGAGATATGAAATACTATCATGAAGTAGTTTATAGTGGATTTGTTTGAGAAAAAACAATTTTCATTCTGAAGGTAAAAAATGTGACACAGGAATCCAGAACCATAACATAGTATTTTTTTTACAAACAACCATCGGCCGTTTTTATTTCCAAAAGGTATAATGTTTTAAAAAGCATTGTCAGAAAAGATCTAGATAAATGGCTAAATCTTTTATGTGCTGCAGTCAGACATTGTCACATTGAGGATTTCATTAAACATTGTTAAATATTGAGTTTGAAAGATTGGCGTCTGAAAAAATAGAAGTTTGGGAAAGTTTTTAAAGCTGTCATATTTTTGAGGCAAATACTATTTACCATACTTACTATATTATTGACTAAATGGTGGAGTTTTAAATGCACAGAAATGTAAAGGTTCCACTAATCAAGTTTGATGTGAAGCAACCTTGTGTTTCTTGCATCACATTATAAAACTTATTCTTATTCTTTTGTTGTATTTGTTCTTCAAGTCGTCTTGGAATGTCTTCTAGTAACAATAATAATCCTGGTGTTGCAAAAAGGTGTGTTAATCTTTTTTGTAAAGAACATCAAAATGATGAAGCCCGTCTTTTTCTGTCAGATTATCTTTGAAGGAAAGCTTATCATCTATTTTTTGTTTAGGTGTGTATACAAATATTATGAATATAAATAACTACCACTTCAAATATCTGTTTAGGTGAAATATAAGTTACAGAAACTGACGGATGGCTTCACTCAAATTGTGTCAGCGTCTCAAAAAGCAGAAGTACTCAGTGAAGAGGTTTTTGTCACAGTGTAAATCACTGTGATACCCACTCATAAACAGAGTGTCCCATGTTTGACAGTAATAGACGGCTGAGTCTCCCTCCTCGATGTTCTTTATGGTCAAACGATAATCTGAAGTTGACTGATGAGTGGATGTGAACTTTGGAGATGAGAAACCAGTGCCATATGTTGGAGAGCTCCAGCTGTGATAAAAATATAATACAAACTGAGGAACTCCTCCTGGAATCTGTTTATACCAGAAAGCAGCACGGTCAGTAACAGTCCCGAGGTTACAGTCTATGGAGACTGTCTCTCCTGTCGTCACGGCTACAACAGACTTCTGTGTCACCACCGTCACACCACTCACACCTGGAAACAACAAGACGACATGGAGTCAAGAGAAACACACACACTGATGAGTCCAACATGAAGTCCAAGCTGCAGGAAGTCAGCCTCCTCACATGTGAGAGCAGTGATGAGAGTGCAGAGGGTCCCCAGCATGGTGTCAGTGTGGGATGAGAATGGCCTTGTGACTTGGAAAGAGACCTGACTGTTGCCAGATTAGAGGCTTTGGAGGATGAGGAGAGGAGGTGCTGGGGGAGACATTTAATACGACACTGAACCTGGGAGTGACTGACAGGGGGAGGAGCTTAGCTTCAACCTGCGTGTTTCTCACAGTTGTGTCATTCGTCAGCATTATTATCAGTGGAGGTTATTTCCCTCAACACCTTTGCAAAGAAGTGATCCAAAGACTTTTTTTTACAGTTTTGTAGTTGTATAGTTGTGGCCTAGTCCTGTCTCTATTCATTCGAATTCATGGCAAGCCTCCAATTTTGTATATTTATAGTACAGTAGTTTAACTAGATATAGCACTTAGCTCTTCACACATAAACGCAATCTAAGAACTTAAACAGGTCAATTGTTATTAACAAACCTCAACAGAAGTCAAATACAGTTACCTCTTGTGTGCTGAGACGCGACCTCCTCATTTACATGGAGCTATGAATAAGAAGAGGAGGCCTGCAGGTGCATCCTGGGAAAGAAGGGGGGAGTAGAGAGGTGATGCTTCACTGATAGAGGATGAAAACGCAAGTTTCGTTTGCTCATTTTATTTAATATTCAAACATTGCAACTGAGTCAATCAATATTTTAAAATGAGTGAGTTTAGTAGCAAACATTTTATCAACATGGTCAAACGTTTTTTTATTTTGTCATGATGGTTGGTTTCCTCCTATAATGAAACTATACCAGTGCTCATTGTGTTGAGTCAATTTCACTCTCAGAAATAAAAAATAATTTGCAAAAACTCTGCTTTCCGAAATCCATCTTAATCTAACAGGGATTCTATCATTTTACTGATTATAATCAAGATACAGATATACAGCAACTCTCATGAGGCAATTTGATATAGATGCACTGTAAAATAATTGACATTAAAGTATTCCACTGAAACTGGTTGTAGTTCCCAGCAGGTGGTCCGACCCGCTCCCTCAGTCCAGAAGTCACAGTGTGCTTTAATCTCAGGACCCTTTTCCCCAAAGGTTGGTCCAGCGTCTGGCAGCTCCACCACCATTGATAGTGTACGTGAATGATTAACAACAACTAAAAGCCTTTTGTCCTACTGATGGAAAAATGATAAATGTGGTGGTACTTACAATTTTCAATTTATATATTTTTAATAAGATTGTATATATACATATATATATACTGTGATAAATCATAACTGTAGACTATACAGCCAATGTGTAAGCTATTAAAACACAGAGAGGAGCAAGATGAAAGTGCCAATAAGTTGATTCAAGCTGCCACCTTGTGGTTGAATTTGTCTTTTTATATAAAAAAAGAAAAATGTGTCTTTTCTAAACCAAGCATGAGCATGTGACCTCTTCTCGCATTTCACTCCTCAATAAAACTACAAACTAGACATCTGAAAAAACCCACAATAACACTCGGTTGATGCATCAGTACTGATCGGTCTACGGTCTCTGTGGTCCTCTTCTCCTGGCTCTGATCACCTTTGACCCCTTGATTGTCCCCCTATCAGGAGCCCTCATCTGAGCTCTCAGTGGAGACCTCAAACCGATGGGGGGGGGAAGCCTCTGTACGGGCCGCTGAGCCACAGACAACCTGCCGTCCTTCAGGTTGTCCACAAAACCCTCCACGCTGTCTAACTTTGACGTGAGCTTCCCCAGCTCATCTTTGAGAGTGTTAAAGTGCCTGTAGAGGTCTCGCAGGGCATCGGACAGAGGCTGGATCCTGAACACATGCAGAGTACAAATCAGTCAATTATTTAGTCATTTACATGATCAGCCAAAGAGCTTTGTGTAGTGCAGTGTAATGTTTCATAAGCTTACATGAGAAGGAGGAACGTTGTTTATACTTAAAATATAACCAAGAACATGACCGTGAAAAGTCCGGAAATTGTGTTAAGCAGAAACAGCCCAGTCATACGCACGAAACATCAGGAAGAAAGTCGGAAATAACGGAGGTCACTTAATAAAAAAGACACCTGCAGTCAGCCAACAAATTCAAAGGAAATGCTCAGTGAAATGCTGGCTGTTTTCCCTGTTTTCTGTTGAGAGCCTTGTTTGGACCACAGCCGTAATGAAACACGGACTCAGACGGGTCCGTGTTCGTGTGCAGAGCAAAGTTGCATCATTTCTAATTTAGTACAACTGCGAGGAACAATAAAATGCCCGCTGACGTCGCTGTCTGTTGTTATTCACGCTATTACTCAACATTTGGACTTCTGGTTTTTAGTTCTGCCTCTAGAATCACAACAATTCAGGATCCAGTGTGACCCACCTGCTGTATTCTGGCAGCACAGAGGCCGGGTCGTTGATCAGCAGGTCTTTCACTTGGGTTAGAATGGCATATTTCCAGTTGTCCAGTACCTGGGTCAGGTTGGAACAGGTCTCTGCGCTGGTATGTTCTTTTGGAGATAGTCATTCATAGTAGGACGAAAGCCAAGTTACCGCCATGAACGGCAAAACAAACTTCAGAATTTCATTTAACGCTGAAATTAACAAACACAAACGCTTTGCTAATCATTTACAGACTGTGGGATAAAAGGAGACACGTCGTCCCTGACCTTTGGGGTCCCAACGTGAGCTTCCCTTGTTCCATTTCTGAGCTACGCATGTCAAGGCCGTGCACAGCAGGACCACAATCCCCTTCATCATCATCTTCTTCACCTGACAAAAACAGAAGTATAAGATGGGAAGTGCGCGGCAAAGGAAAGAAGCTAAATACATAAAAACACACTTATAGTTACCGGTGACTTTTCACGTTTAATAAAAGCACAATTTAGTAACATTATACTATTCAAAACAGATCAAATTTTACAACGAGAAGAACTTTGGGATTCCCTTTACCTTCCTGTGAAGTAGTGCCAGGGGTCTTTCCAGGTCGCAGCGGCGAAACACACTCTGTGGTACGATCCTCCAGCGGGGACATACTGAGAAAACCTGACCCGGTCAGAACCGTCTTATAACTGCCTCTCTCATCACCCGGAGCCACCCCCCCCCCCACCTGCTCCCACCCACTTCAGTGATGCAGTGAAGACTCACCCTGTTCCTTCAACATGCGCCAACACACACACACACACACATGCTGCTGCGGACACAACATTTAACCTGCGGCAAAGCTCCTGTACCACATGCACACACACGTTAGCTTTCCAATTCAGTCCCTGGTGTGTCTCGCAGACGTATGGATCTCCTAACATTGATGAATAACCCTGAATGGGAGGTCCCGATGATCCTCCATCCATCCCCCAGATGTATTTCAGCTGCTGTGAGTAGTGCAGGACAACAGCGCTCACTGTGGGCTCAGATCCAGAGAAGGTGTTTGATGTAGCAGCGTGGCTCCAGCGCAGCATTCTTACTGCCCACTGTAATACAATCTGCTCAACATCTGGGCTTCGGCAGATGCAGCCAGCAAACGCTCCCTTTCGACTGCCAGCCGCGATCAAAAGAAAAAGACACATTCACACACTGGATGAAGTGATGTGTGATGTTTGGCATTTTTTATGAATATACTAAATAGGAAATAAACAGCGGAGTGAGTGTGATTTACCTCATTACACCGATTTGACGCTAATCCACCCCCGATGAGTCCCAATGGTTTCCGTGGAATCTGTCAGGAGGACAGGTCGGCGATCCGGACAGTTTGGGGACGGAAAAAAGGCAGCTGGACTCAGAAAGAGAAGCGGAAAGATATTCATCCGGGCAGGAAGAGGGCTTCAATTTAACAGCTCTGTCATGAGATAACTCTTCATAATAAACTCCAGCTCAGAGCAGTTGAAAGGCGTATTGATGTATCACATGAGGCGGAAAGGAATCTGATGGTCCGTTCCATCTGCCTCCTGCTTTAAACCCCTGAGGCCTACTTGTCTACTGTATGCTGTTAGTAGTATGAATGTCGTCCGTATACCACACATCTTCAATGCTGAACATACACTACGAGTTGGATTCACTTCAAAGAGTGTAAAACTAGATGCACTTTAAATCAAATCCCCGCTCGAAGGATTTAAAAAGAACAAAAACAGTGAATGGCAGAATTTGAGAGATTTGTTACTTAAGAAATCTCACACTCATTTGATGATCTCAACTGTCAGCAACCAGTCACAGAGATTTACTGCTACATATGGACCATATATGCTGTCATCGGTCTGTCTACCATATAATATAACATGTATATGTATATAGAGACAGACAGATGATATATACATATACTGTATATATAATTTATCCCAACCTACATACCTACTACCTTTTTTTGTCTTTCTTTGCTATGTAGCAAATTGGGACTAGCTTTTACATTTTGGGGAAAAAGCTGATTTGTTCTGTTTTAAAGTGTTAGTTGTTAGTTAGTTTATCTGTAACATTGTACAATAGTTGTGTACGGTAATCTTCACAGTAAACAGTGTAATATTACATCTACCGATAAAAATATATTGAACTGAGCTTAAATTAGCATCAAATGGAAGTGAATAAAAGTATAATGACTTCCAAATCTAATTGCTTTTACCCTGTATATATTTGTAAAGAATATAAATTCACCTGCACACACATTCATCTGCAAGATCAAGAAGTCTAATCTTTTGAAAGCTCAGACTGTCAAAGTGGAAGCTCTGTTTTTTCCCCCTATTGATCCAAATGAATATGGAAAAAAGTTAACCGGGACACAATTCTCCCCTCGTATTGTCCTTCCTTCAGCGCTGGGCTCCATCTGCTGAACGACTTCCTTCCAACGCGGTGCAGCGCCGGCAGGGGAAAGAATGACAGCAGCCGACCGGCAGAGCCAGAGAGTGAAAACCGGGCCTCTCTCTCTCTCTCTCTCTGCTTTTTTACTTGCTGTCACATTTGTTTCCCCAAACGCTGCTTTCAATGACTCACAGCAGCACCATCACTTCATGGTGACTTCACGACAGTCAAGCACAGACTTCAAGGATTTCAAGTTGTCTTTCCAGGTGTAAAATGCACGAAAAAAGCGAAATTCTTAAACTCCCTTTCACAATCAGACCTTGGTGGTTTATCCAAGTCAAACCAGAAGTTAGTTCTGCTCACAGCCCCGTTCTCCTGTGCGTGGATACCTCACACAGGCTTTGATGAGCGTCTAATCCCCTCACTGTGACTCTCACATGATGGAGAAAATCCTCGCAGCAGCCGGAGGCTAAACACTGCATGGGTTTCTCCACCTCGGCTCACATGCTTCTCTGTTCACGCTGCTGGTCAATGCTCCCCCTGTGCTCCACTTACGCTCGAGTCATTCCGTCCAGCTAAACGCACAGGGAGCATCGTCTCTCCGACATGAGGAGGAATTACGTGATAGAAAGGATTCTTTGGCCGTGGTCGAGGAGGGACGCCGCGCCGGATGAGTCCCGCCCGCTCATACCGAAGGTAAAGGGGTCACTTTGGTTTTTCTCCGAATATTGAGTACCTCTGTGTATTCTCAAGTGCTTGAGTTCTGATAACTACGGTACTTAGTTGCATTCCTGTGCGTCCAAAGGTAAGCCCTGCTAAAGACGGCGCCGAGGAGCTTGGCAATGTCCCCGCCGACATCCACCAGGCGGGGCCGACCGGGGGACGGGACGACGGCCCCGTCTTCGCGGGCATCCGACCCCGCTGCAGATATTCTTTTGTGGACTATTTCCTAAAATACCTCCTGATCCTATCCAACCTGGTGTTCACAGTTCTGAGCCTGATGGCTCTGGTTCTGGGGACGTGGGGCCTCGTCAGCAAGCAGTCCTTCGCTCGGGAGAAGATCGGCAGCATCGGCACCGACCCAATGCTGGTGTTTCTGACCGCGGGCTCGGTGCTGACCCTGCTCTGCCTGTCCGGCTGCGTGGGCGCCTTGAGAGAGAACCGCACTTTGCTGAAGCTGTTCTCTGCCGCGCTGCTGCTCCTCATCACGGCCCAGGTGCTGACCGCCATTGTGGCCTACGGTCTGCAAGACCAGGTCGTGGGCTACCTGCGGTCGGGGATGTTAGCCGCCATGGTGCGCTACCAGGATGATCTGGATCTGAGGTTCATAACGGACGAGATCCAGTCCAACCTGCAGTGCTGTGGGGCAGATAACTACCGTGACTGGGAGCTCAACATGTGAGTAGCAGGTGACTAACTGGGACGTATTTGTGTAAAATAAGTACACCATGAGTGCCTGAATAGTTAATGGTGTTTGTTTCCTTCACCCCAGATATTACAACTGCTCTGCTCCGGGGGTGCTGGCCTGCGGCGTCCCGGCGACATGCTGCGTGGATCCTCTGGAGAACGGAACCGTGTGGAACTCTCAGTGTGGTTTGGGAGCCCAGCTGCTGGACGAGTTTAGCGCTCAGAGTGTGATCTTCCTGGGCGGATGTCTGGGAGGGATCTCTCGCTGGATTGAGCAACACGAGGGCCTGATCGGGACAGTTGCAATAGTGGTGGTGGGGGTCCAGATCCTGACTCTGTTCATCACCTCGCGGCTGTTAGAAAGCATCCGGTGGCATAACGTTTACACATAGCACGGGATGGTGGGTATATCCGCTCATTATATTGTGTTTGTGCTAATTATGTATTCCAGATGACCCTGTATACACATATTGTGTTCTGATATTTAAGTTTCTCAGTTGTCTCATGCTGTACATCCTGAACCACATTTTATGGATGCATTTTTACATTTCTGCATTAAAGGTGAAAATGTGCATTATTTTGCTGTTTGATTCAAGATATTTCAAGTTTTAAAGCCCAAGACATATTTAACATTAGGTTACAAGGCTTTACAAAGTCATCATCATGTATAAGAAGAGACGCAGACAGGGATGTCCCTGCTGTCGAGGTTGACCCCGGAGAGACATCAGTGTGAGACGGATGCAGCTGTTTTTGGAATAGTAATTGTGATGTGTGTCAATCAGGAGGCATTTGGAAATATGCTGCTGGATTTTCTCAGATTACATTTTCTCTCCAACTGTTTTATGATGATGATGATAGAAAAGGGCATGAATGGCAAAAGTGTTCTCCTTTCCCATCAGCAGTCTTTGAGATTGAGTTGCATCAATTCATCTGATGGCTTAATACAGCTTCTCCCTGTAATATATTCCATTCATAAGCAAGCATGGGACACGCGCAGGGACACGCATCCACTTTCTTGTGGACTATTTAAACAATGTTTCTCTCGTTGACTCACAAACTCACCCTGATAATCTGCAACAAAATCACCCAAAACATGTGGATGTATTTTATTCCAATATTCTTTCTGGCCATTAAAGGGATTAATAATGATATCCTTCCAGTTTTCTCAATTTATCCACCTCTGAAGACCATGTAGGCTCATGCTAGAATCACGTATGACGTTCTGAATGCCACATGTTTGATACCTGACCAGGAGGATGCTGAATCAGATGGTGCAAACAGCTGATTGTAGGTTTGCAACCACTAATCATGCAAAATAATTTGATATGTTTAATGATCAAAACCACATTACAAAAGAATAATAATTATTTCTAAAACAAAGTGACATCTCGAAAGTGTCTTATATACTTTACCTTAGCATTGCCATCGCATGATACCCTATTTCACAACATTGAAAGAGGTCTGGGTCTCTCTCGACGCCATCTAGTGGTGTCACGTGGAAGCGCAAGCTACCAACGGGATGACGGAGCCTGCAAAGATCGTCTATTGTGAAGCCGAGGCACCGACCCCGGTGCCCGGAAATAGATACGGAGTAAGACCTCACTACTTCCGGTCTCCCACTATCCCTCGAGGTTAAGGTTTGTAGGTTAAAGGTTATACACGCTGCTCCACACGCGTGTTGTTGTTTTTTTATTGATAACTTGTAATCCGTTAAAATAAAGGGTAGCGACATGGGGAAGAACAAGAAGAACAAAAGCAACGAGTCAGTAAAACAAGCGGACAGGTCCGGCCAGCATTCAAGGTAACGTCGGGAAGCTAAAATGTAACAGGAAATGCTAGCTAACGTTAGCTCGTATTAGCTCCCGTTAGCTCCCACGTTAATCACGGTTCAACTGCTGCTTCGCGTTAAAAAAATTCTGATTCAACTGGTCAACGTAATCCTTTTAGTTAAGTTAATGCGAAGTGATGCCACGCACCTGCATCACGTAGCGTTGAGACATTGAAAGACTTCACTAAGTTAACGTTAGCCAACGTTATGTGTTGCTTGCAGTTCTTGTGTTTACACTTCGTGAAACTACCGTTACTATATCCAACACTTGACACCCTTACGTTTTAACTTCAGATAAACTACTTTAAATTCGATTTCTGGATTTGTTCTGCAATTCTGAAGTAAACGTTTCTCCCCCTTACTACGTTGTTGGTGTGCACCAATACACAAAATGCCTGTAAACCTTTCTGTGGATTGTGTTTTGAACAGTGATAAGAGGCTCAAAGAGAGAGATGGAAAACCAAAGAAAGCCCAACCAGATCACATGGAACACATCCCCTTCAAACTGCGTGAGATCATGAAAAGCAAAGACCGGATGAAATCGGGATCCGTGAAGGCCAAAAAGGTCAAAGAAGGTGAACAGACGAGCTTCTTTGACATTACTTCATGTGATGCAAAGCTTTTTTTTTTGTTTATAATTTTTGGGGGAACTTGTTTTGTGTCCCTTTTGCCATCGCATCTAAAGGTAAACCAGATGATCAGCTGATGGAAGACATCCCTGTCCCACATTTCAAGAGGGCAAATGCAGAGAGTGAGAAAGCGTATCTGCGACGCATGGAGAACGAGACGAAACACGTCCTCTTCCTCACCAACAACCAAGTGGACAGAAAGCCTGAGCTGGAAGTAGATGCCCAGGAGAGATCCGCGAACCAGGGCAAGTCTGAGAAAAAGAAGGAGTAAGTTGAACTTGCCTTGTGTTCAGTACTCTGATTAAATGCATTTGTGCTCTAATGGGATGGGAAAGTGGGGCCGACTCAAGTCAGTTGTACGCTATCATCCTGCTTATTGTATATACGGCTCAACTGGGTAAATTGTATTCGTTGTAATGTACCGTAACTGTTTATCAGCTGTGGTTACAGTCTAAGTTTAAATTCAGCAAAAAGTGCTTTATTATTTCTTGTATATTATTACGTGATCTCTGCTTCCTTTGCTACAGGTACGATAAATTGAGAATAGAGAAGCTACACGAGAAAAAACTGAACAGACAAGTGGCCGAGATGGAGAAAGAGATGTTTATTGGTAAGTAATGTTTCCACGAGTTGTGATGCATGAAAGGAGGTAGGTTCCATCTCTGAGGGTTCTTTGAAGATCTAAGGAACAGCCTGGCTTTATATTAACAAGGGGTCTTTAGTCGTGAGGTAGGACGAGGCACATATTCATACATAAACGCTCGCAACGGGATAAAATAGATATATCTAGTCATTTGGAGAAAGTCGTACAAGATACCTGCGTTCCTTCACGCTGCATGAGAGAGGCATCAAAATCTTGGATGGACAGCTAATCCTCTATATTTTTAGTTTATGTCCCCGGAGACGAGACTAGCTAATTCAAGTGTATTTAAAGCTGCAGTTTTTTAAAATATATGTATATGATGTGTGGATCACATGACCTCGTATTATTTTCTTTGTAGATACCGTTCCCTTCGGTGAAGTTGCAATGGCCCCACCGTCTTTAAGTGCCAAACCCAAGAAAGCCCCGGTCAAATCTCAGGTAACCCCCTAAGTAATCCCAACGTCACGATGGTGACCTTCCTGCTTGAATGAGCGCTAACCGCCATTGTTTTTCTCCCCCGGCCACATCGTCCAGCAACCACCGAAGGGGCTGCTTCTCAACTCTCTCCTGGGCCGCGCGGTGGTCCCCACGGCCAAGCCCTCCATGGCCAGACAGAGGATCGTGGAGGAGGAGAGGGAGCGGGTGGTGGAGGCTTACCGTCTTCTCAAGAAACGGAAGCAGCAGCAGCGCGTGGACCTGACGGCCAATCTGGAAAAACTGAAGAACCCCTCGGGGACGTTCCCCGGCGAGGAAACCTAAGTCGGCGCGGAGGCAGAGAAACTGAATCGCGGCGCGGGGTAGCGGTCGTCAGACTGTTTGTGTCGCGTGACCCTGGAACCGCCTCGCGTGACGTAGCCAATCGGGGGGAGAGAGAGAGAGAGGCGAAACCGTCGCATCGGCCGGCCACGGTGTGTAAGCAGGGACTGACTTTCGCCTGCAGCCTCCAGTGCTGCATGTCCAGCTTAACATGGAACAGGGTGCCTGTATGTGTCTTAAGGAGACGACAAAGTGATCCCACCGAAATGATTACATCCAGACCAGGGACTTTTGTTTAATTATGCCACCTGTTTTTATGTTTGCTTCTTTTTCATTTGTTGTTACGACTATGACGTCACATGTTACGTGGTAGAGCGTAAATTCAGGAGACCATGTCAAGGCTAAAATAAAGATTCAACTGTTGCATCCCCTGCTGTGTTCCCACTAGATGGCAGTCTGCCCGCAGAAAGCTGCTTTCATGATGTTTGTGTGGTGAACTGTCAGAATATGAAGACTAAAGACAAGTTATTCCTCATTATAAATGTGAATTTATGGCCGTAGACTTTAAATACCTTCAAACCATGTCTCCCTTTTTTTTTTTTTCTTCTTCTTCCCTGGGATCAATAAATTCCATCAACCCTTTTGGGGCATTAGAGCCTGGCACCGCTGTACATATTTAATCCGTGAACAGGGCCTTTTTGTTTCGACGGTATTCTTTGGGACAAACTTGCAAATTCTGATTTGTTTGTTGAACAACTTCCTCTTTTTAAATCCTCGCCAATCTCACAGCAAACATTACACTGATAATTGCTTTTTTTGTGACAATATTGATGCGCTGAATAATAACACCAGATGGTTTTACCTGTTAATACTGACTCCCTGTTTGGTCTATCGGTTCAGTCACTTCTGTTTGATCAGGGGGTTTTTTTTGTTGGGTCTGTGTTTGTCCAATGAGTGTTGTCACAGTGACGAGGAAATGCATTAAGTGGGGACAGCTGCTTGGGATTGGTAGTGCTGAGCTCAACCGCCAATGGTCATTTACCCCGGCGCCCATGTGCACGAGACAGCTATCTGCATTCCCAAGGGATTTACAGCTAGTACATGTCACAGAGAGCTGCTGCTCGAGTCGCTGGTGATGAATCAACGTTTAATACTCCTAATCCTATACACTTCAAATAAAGAGTGTGTCAAGGTTAACCCCATAGTGAGGCGCACGGTAACGTTGGTGCAGCGCTAACCCCCGGGCAGGTAAGATTATGTTGGAACTGCGATAACTTTCCATGAAGCTGCTGAGTGCTCTTTTGTTTACATTTAGATACGCTTTTCCTGCTCTGTGTTCACAATAAGGTCATTGGACAAAACTGCAGAGCTTTTTATGCAGCTCTTTGGGTCCAGTGTCCAGATTTTTTTCATGGTGGCAGGGGAAACGCTGCACAACACATGTGTTGCGTTGGATATTGCTAATTAGCCTGGATATTTTCCAGGTTGTGAGCAATTTCTTTTCCTGAGTAGCGGCTGCTGACGCAGTGCATGGTGGGAGTAATTGGGGGGGGGGGCTACTCGGCCTGCTGCTAGGCAGCCACAGATCAATCTGAAGCTCCTAACGTGTGTATGTACGTGTGAGTGTGGCATATCGCGTGTTAATAATTGTTCCTCTCCCTGTGGAGAGAGGGAACAACTCTAACAACGGTGTGGTGATGGTGTTTGCAGCCACTCAGCTTCCTGTGCAACCAACATGCGTGCAGAGAAGGCACCTGGCCGCCTTCCACGAGTTCTGCTGTCACACAATGCCGGTTTTTATGACATTGTGCATCAACTTACAGCCCCAAACTCCAAACTGCTCACAACATCCACTCATTATTACATTCCTTCTTCCGCTGTTTGGTTATCAATCCCACCCTGTCGCTCAGGGCCGTAAAAGCTTATCAAAACCAACATATGTAAATAACTTGTCTGAATATTGCGCGCACTTCCTCTTGTATTCCCCCACATTTGCATCCTCAAAAATTGATGCTGGTAAGAATTCAAAGATCTACAGGGGAATGGTATTTAAGTAACCTTTTATATGTTGAGTTAAATACTTTTACATTAGATTACAGGTTTTAAAAGTCAATTATTTTGCTTTCATACTAAGTCTGAATCATATCACAATCATATCTCTTTGGTCACATGTGAACAAAGTATAGTTTACAACAGATTAACTAGTCGGTTCATTTGTGATAGCTAAAAGCATATTGGTGGAAAAAAAACAACTTTCAGAGTTTGTAAATAAAAAGTACATGTATGTATATTTGCTTAATTGTAGACTTTTTGCTTTCCAGGGCACCTAACTTGTTTCTTGTTTTTCCCCCATCAACCCTCTGTAGGTCAGAATGTTTACATAGTTCCACTTTGAGATATCATCTTTGTATTAATGTAAAAAGATATAATCATTGCTTTTCCATAGAGGTATAAAAACACTGCTTTTTCTCTCAGTTGTGTCTTTGAGATTCGGGCCATAAGTAAGCAAAGCTGGTTTTAGTTTGCGTTAATAGGCTGTTGGGCCTGTATAGTTAAAATGACAATGAACATTGAATAGAAAACCTTATTTAAGCATAACAGCCTCACTGCTGCCCATGCAACCAATATTATTGGTGCCTTTTTAATCTTTTACAAATGACACTCGGTCCAGACGACATGAGAGAAAATAAAGTACAAAACAAAGTGAGAGGAGCTGGTTCAAACTACTGCGAGCTCAGGAAGAGAAAGGAGGCCTACGTTACATTTGATACAAGGCATTGTGAGTGGAGACCTATCGCCCCAGAGAGCCCTCAGGGCGACGAGGGCCGCATGGGCCGACGCAGGGAGCTGTCGCTTCCTTGGCTCGGAGAGGGGTCCGGAGCCCAAGGCGTCATGGCGCCCTGGTCCATCTGCGGAAACACACAGAGATGCGATTGTTTCAGCAGTTGTGACGGAGCGGGTGTGTTCCACGTGTGTGTGATGTGATGTCGCCTGGTCTCACCTTGGTCAGACCCCTGGCGATCAGGGCTAGTTCAGTGGGCTGGTACACGCAGCTTCGTAGCCGACCGTTGTAAGCGCCATATGGAGACACGGGCTTTGTGGGTTCTGGAGAAAGAAAAGGTGGAGGAGGAGGACAATTGAAAAAAATCAACGGTTTGTTTGAGAGGATTGTCCAGTCCATTAGTTTGCATCCCTTGGCTCGAGATCCACATTATCCCTTCTCATTGTGTAAAACACTAAAGTCGCCGTAGCAACACATTTAGTTCCACTGAACCGTGGCGTGATTCAATATTTGCTGCGTCTGTGGGGATAAATCAGACGCCTTGCACGAGTCGGGTGTTGTCACTCTTTAAAAAACCTCGTTACTATATTCTGTTACTCTGCTTGACTCGAGGTGAATGGCTAAAGCGTATGAGCCTAAATTCACCATTAAATTGGACCGCTGTCCTCCACACTCATTTACATTCTTAAATGTGAGGATTTAGCCTTCATCTATATATAATGTAGCTGTCATTGTGTCATGCATTACCCATTGGAGGCTCATCCATAGTAAAGGCAGTATTCTCCATGTACAGGTTCTGCTTTGGTGGCTCCGGCTCCCTAAGGATGTTGTCATAACGGACGCTCCCGGCGGGATAAACGGGATCTCCATCGATCGGCAGCTCCTGATCTGGGTCCTCCTGGGTCAGTAAGCAGATTTCTGGGATGGCGTAGAGGACGAGGAACACCCAGGCATTGGACACCACGGCTACGGCCAGAGTTGGATCGTCCCAACCGGGATTCTCGAGGACTTGGTTCCCATAGACGTACATGACGATCCAAGCTACCCAGATAGCCACGCTGAAGATCCCAGAGACCAGGATGAAGGCTCCATCTCGCCGCCACCGGGCCTGCTTGTGCGTCAGTGAGGGCACAGCGGTCAGCATCACCGCCAGCAGCAGAGCCATGACGTAGATCAGTGCCATCACAAAGTCGCGGTTAGCGATGCTGCAGGACAGGTCGGGGACGTCGACCGGGCTCCTGGCCACGGTGATGACGAGCCACTCGGTGTTGATGATCACCTCGACCATCCACAGACCCAGGGCACCCAGGCACAGCATCCAGCTCCTGGGGCCCCGGCCCTTCCGCTCCACCAGGGCGAGCCACAGCGCGTGCATCACCAGGCAGGCCAGGCAGCCCGAGAACAGCACTCCGAAGAGGAACCGCCGAGCGGCACAGCTGGTGGAGTAGCGCTCCACGACGAAGGCGAAGGTGAGCCCGAAGAGTCCCAGCGTGAAGACCAGCACGCCGGCCTGCAGGGCCACCGTAACTTTTCTCTTCTTGTCGGTGGCAAACGGTAAACTGGCCATGAGGACGACCAACAGAATGAAGGAGGTCACCACGCCAGCAGCGGCAAACGCCTCCACCACGACCCCCCACACTGTAGTCAGGTCACACAGGTTGTAATATATGGAGCTGATGTCGGAACCACATCCCTTTGGAACGCCGGTCGGTGCCGTGGCTTCACTGGGGAGAATTTTTTTTAAACATAGGAGCAGCAAAAAAATACAGTTTAATATACGTGGATGGAAAGACAATCAAATTATGTTTACTTTGCATTACTGTGTCATGCACATAAATGACTACACCAGTTTTACTGTGTTGTGCTTACATTGAATGTCCATGAAAGTAAATTCAATCAAGTGTCTGGACTCGAGAATCCAAAATTTACAGCGATTTGTCTCCCCATTCTTTAATGATAACATGGAACCTTGTTGGATAATATAATAATAACCCCACCCTTTACAACACAGAGGTATCATTTTAACATTTCCACAAATCGAGTACCATCACGCACACAGCAGCCCACCGATTAAATTAGGACCATTTTCAGTTTTAATTCCTACAATTACATATGTCAATCTAATAATATTTCTCTATACTAAAACTGATCAAAGAACATTGGCTACACTGGCCGGTAACTCTGAAAAGTCTTATGTGATTCTGAAGTTTTGAAGCAAACTGAGACGTTAATTACCCCCGGAATTTAGTTTTAGATGCATAAACCATAAAAAAATAAACCAATCGGATTATTTGTCACGAAGCTGCAACAGACACGCCCTTAAATAACAAAAGTTGTAATTTTGTTACTTTAGGTCGCGGGTGTTAAAGTTATAACAGCATACGGCCACAGAGAGTAATAGAATAATAATAATAATACTAATAATGGTATTGCCGGTAGGACTTACGTGGACGACATGATGACGGAGAGCAGCTCCAGCAGGTGACAGGTGGATTTACTCCCTCGAGCACTGCGCCCTCAAATGATCACCTAATGACAGACGGATTGTTGTTGTTGTTGTTGTGTGTCCTCCATCACGTCCACTCCATCCCGACCGTTAATGATCCGTGTTGTAATGAGCGTTACAAAAAAAAAAAAAAAAGCGTGCCAGTTTTCCCTTCGACTTCTTCCTTTTTCCGTGAAGGGAAAACGTTGGAACGAGGCGATCGGCTCAGACGCCTCCGCCGGTCATCCGGTCTCTCGTGCAGCTTTGCATATTCGGTGAGATTACGGGTCCCGGCCTACAGCCCGTTCGCTGCAGGCTGCTTACTCGCAAACAAAGGGGCCACTCAAGTCCCCCGAGTGAGACGTTAACCTGATGTGCACGACCTGCATGCAAACCGTGACAGGTTGCACACTTTGAGCTCAGACACAATGGAGATGAATGACTTTTAACGGTTGTTGAGTCAATTTGATCCGTTGTGTGATTGTTCTTTAAAAGTGTAGTTGTGTTAAAAAAAAACACTCCAGTGATTTGATAAACTGTTTCAACAGTTGGATACAGCTCTTTTGCGATTACTTTACACATAAATTACTATTCAAAATACACTTTAAGACAGTACAATACTGTATTTCTATATATAAAATGGGTGATTTGCAGAAGTTCAAAGACATTCAATAGTGCAAAAAGCTTGGTTCAACATTATCAATGTCCTTCAAAATGTATTTATTTATTTAACAACTGTTGTAATTTATTACAACACACACGTACAGACATGTAGAAAGTATAAAGGATTGATTACTGCAGGCCAAAGCAAATGATCCAAGCAGCATTTGTAAATGAATGATATCCCAAGCTTTTTGATCCATAGTGAATTGATGTCACTGTGCTCAAATGATATCATATTTGTACTCTCAATTATATACAGGAAAAAATCATCATAAATTGTTTTTTTAGTTTGGATCGCATTCAATAATTAAATGATACTTCATACAAAAGCAACACTGCATCTGTAGAAATCCAGTGACTCTTGAGTCTTTCCCTTCTTAAGCTTAAGTACTTGAGGGCAGTCACCAGTTTGCAGAGCCACCTGGTGGAAAATATTGTTACAAGAGAGATTGGCGCCTGTGTTTCATAATCCATTGAGACCGCACAGAAAAAACAAACGGATTTTGTTATTGATTTCTTGCAGGCCATGCCACTTAACAACCATTGGACAAAAGGAACATTGACAGATGTCATTGATTTAAAGCTTTTAAATTGGGTTCACTCAGTAAAATGTATAAATATTCAGGGGTCTGAAACTATGACTCTTTGTCTTCATATATATTGAAAATCCCCAAAACCTCCTCATATACATAGATATATTTTTCCTCACTTTCACTTTCTGTTTCCTTTATTTTTAAACTAACCCATGTCACAACCCGGCACATGGAAGGTGACAAACAAGGAGGGGGTTTTGTTCGAAAACAAACCAAAGTATGACTATACAACGGAAAATAAACTGGTGAAGTGTGAAAGTAGGCATATGTGGGGTATAGTGGAAATGCATGGATGCATATAAGAAGTGTAGGTGTTGAGCGGTGTACTTAAACAAAACGCATACTCTACCAAAGGCTGAATCAAAATGGTGCTGGTAGGTAGGTAGGTAGGTAGGTAGATAGGTAGGTAGGTAGGTAGATAGGTAGGTAGGTAGGTAGGTAGGTAGATAGGTAGGTAGGTAGGTAGGTAGGTAGGTAGGTAGGTAGATAGGTAGGTAGGTAGGTAGGTAGGTAGGTAGGTAGATAGGTAGGTAGGTAGGTAGGTAGGTAGGTAGGTAGGTAGGTAGGTAGATAGATAGATAGAGAAGGCTGCTCATCAGGAACTTTAACACCTGGCTAGCTCCACCCACAGGTGCAACCTGTCACCTTAACAGGTCTCCTCCAGCTCCACCCGTCTCCAATCTGCAAACAAGAACATAGCGAAGGAGACAGGGGGGCCCAGAGGGCCGTAACACCCATAGCCTTATATTACTAACCCATGGCATTATATTTTATTTGAATCCTCTTGCACTGTCGTACCGTCTGCTGTGATGCACCAACCGCCATGTCAAATTCCTTGTATGTCTGACATATTATGGCAATAAATTTTTCCTGATTCCTCATATAGTTGTGAAAGAAAATGTCGCAAATAAAAAGCCCCAATAATAGATTTGCTGTGTAGGTACCCCAGATATTCTTTGAAACGTCAGTGTGAGACCTTTCAACAGAAGGCAACGTGGGTTTTATACATTTGATAAGACACATCCAACATGTGAAACGTGTGATTAAATCAGATGTCCTTTGTGTCATGTTTTGGAGACCTGGTTATGTGGGGCAAACCCTCAGGGTTCAGCAGAGTAAGGTCATCCAGGACGCCTTGCTGAAGCTCACTCTGGCAGACAGCCTGCACTAAACGTACTGTTTATACCACATGATGGAGCCCCCTGCTGTGCATCGATCCCCCCCGATGGATCCCGTCCCGAGGGGCGCTCGCACAGGCGCAGCAGCTCGTCAATCTGTCCCGCCGCACTGTTGTCCTCATGGCGGATTCTTAAACAGGAGCTGATCTCAAAGGAGAGAGCAATGTGACCTTAACAAAGGGCACGCCGTTCTCACTCATAAAGAGGGCTTTGTTTTTGTTTTCTCATTCCATTACGCATGCTCAACTTTGTGTATACAGCTATTCTTTGAGCTTTAAACCAGTATATCAGTATTTACATAAAGCGCATCATTTTTTTGTTGTGTGCAGCGTCAAGGAAGTAAAACAAATAAAGCTTGGCACCATTCCCAGCGTGATCCAGTATCTTGTCGTAGTTTTGTCCTTTTTCTGGCAGCAGGTTTTCATCAGAGCACCTCAGCAGCACATTTTCTCCTCCGACAACCTGTCAGGTTGTTCTTAGCAGAGACAAACCCCGATTCACTCTTAAAGGACGTCTCTGCCTGTCTGTCTGTCCGCTGTCTGTCACTTTGCAGCACGTTAGTATGACTATCATGATTGGGCTGATGGCCTGGTCAGATTAAATGATTTCAGAAACATGCCTCAGATCAATTACTGATGACATCTTTTTGTGAAGATTTGAAGTCCCTTCATTCACTGTCCCATCTCTGACAGATCAATGCTAATTGAGGGATACAGAAAGGGCCACTGCAAACCTCTCTTTGCGCTGTTGGCCTGAGGCCGTGTTATTGCTGTTTCACATTGAAGCTTTTTTGGGGGGGTTATTTTATTCTATGATGTGTGTCTCTCTCGTGACACCGAGGCTGTTGGGCTCACTTTGAGTCGTCACAGCATCACGTATTGATTCTCATAGCTGGGAGAACAGTATGTTCCATATCCAGCTGGAATTTTGTTCCACAAACCATTTGCCCTTTGTGAGGTTTGCGATGCAACAACTGGACTTTGAATATGTACCGTAGCGGTATGTGACTGCATGAAATCGTGATTGGCAGTAGGAGTTGATCAACAGAGCGTGACTTTAATTGACTAGCGGACCAATGAAATCATCCTTCCATGAGTGAGATTAAGATGCCGTCAGAGGAATAATTTATCCCAGTTCAAAAACACATTACAAAATGAGTTATGAAATCTGACTGTCACACTTATTACTACCTCAATTATTTATGGCAGATAGCCTCAGTGGCAACTTCCTCTGATTAATTGACTCATTACAGGATGCTGATTGACATTTTATTCAACATTTTGCAGTCCAGAGATTTGCCGCATCCTTAGTGCCATTAAAACATGAAACTATGTTGCCATCGATTGTTGACACCACATTAGTTTTTGAATTAAAAAAACCCCCAAACAAACATTAAACCGCGTCCATGGTTGGCCCGGTGCCAACGATCAATGCCATGCAACTTCCAAAAGGGAGGAATTCAATATCAAAGCTGTCGCCATAGCAACGCCCCCGCCAGATTCCACCAATCAAGGGAGTCCGTGGGGTTGCGAGATGCGCCAGGGGAAGGCCAGCGTCCTACATAAAGAGTGCGGGACGGGGAGCCGGACGGCGCGCGCGGGGCAACAACACCTTTCTGCAAGCACACCGCCAAGACACAGCAGCGAGAGGAAGAGTCGGGAGAAGGGTGGCACAGAGGGAGGAAGAGAGCCAAGGAATAACTGAGAAGATATGGTTCGCTCATGTGGACAAGGGATCCCTGCCTGGGCCTATGTGGGCGCCCTGTTCCTCTTAATCCACTCTGTCACAGTTGGAGGAGGTAAGATAACAAAAGGAATAAGCACTTTTAACTGATTGCAATCGAAGAGCCATTTGACCGTGTGAATCTTTTTTTCTGTGTTTTTTCAAATTTGATATATCCTAAATAGTAAACTGCGTTGTTCTATTTCAATCCAGCTTCCCCCACATTATCAGTGGGTAGTAGAGCACGGCATGAATGCGTGGCTCGCACTCGGCCTCAGGGCAGGGGATGGGTGTTCATCTATTCTACTTATCCCGTCCTCATGTATCTGTCTGCCGGGTGCAGAGTAAGAGAGGCAAGTCCATTTGCTGCCTGGCATCGTGCCGGCTCAGTGATACAGTACATGCGCAGGAGGAAAGGAAAGCTTTTCTTGCTTCTTAAATGAGATCTGACTTTGACTGGTTCTGACCACGGCCTCTGAAGGCCACATTCTTGTGCATATTGGATTCCGTTTGAAATTCCTTAGAAGCACACACTGATCTGAAATGTAGGGAATGGGTATAAAATGAGTTATTCAATGTTTTCGGCTGTTCTCAGCTTGGGTAGGAAGATAAATTAAAAAATTCTTGTTTGCAACTTAAAAAAAAAAAAATCTAAAATGTCTTGATTGTGTTTTTTTCTTTCAGAATATATACATAAAAACATATATACTGTTTCCCCAGTTATAATGACTTGGGTAATTTTTCAATTGGCTTCAGTCTGCCAAAACCATTTGGCCAGCCGGGTGCTGGCGGACTAATTGGAAAAAGGCTATTTGAACTCGGGGCGCTTGATTGTGGTCGAGATATGAGGACTAAGACATTCCAAGGAGCCAAATGTGCTCCCTCTGTGTCTCATTAAACCCCCCCTCACCCTCCCTGTAATAGGCCAACCACGCTGCCGATGGCGGAATGGAAACAGCAGCTTGTCATGCTGAGTCTTTCATGTCGGATTCTCCAGTATGTGACTCTTGTACTTGCGCACATGAAGGCCCATAGAAGCAGCCATCTGCAGTGGTCCCGCAAAGTCAGGATTCTTCTCTGTGCGCCTTGTGTCGAGGGTTTTCTGAGTAGGCCACCTGGCTCGTTAATTGAAACCAGAAGAACAGAATAATGTGCAAGTGTGCTATTTTTTTTCTGACGCATATTCTGAGTTGCGGTTTAGTCGATGATGTAGGGAACAAAAATCTGATGTAAGAAACAAAGTAAACAAATTCCTCTGTGAAATCTTGGAAAGCAGAGTCAGAATGACGCAAACTACGGCGGTGAGAATTCCTGATATATAAATAAATATATATACATAAATAGCTGAAACTAACTCATTTAAATATCAAATTTTTCTACGCGTGAAGTGTTACTAGTTCATCATCTTTCACTTTCTTTTCCACAGCTGCCCTGAAGCAGGAGGTGGCGTTGGACAGTGGGGCCACGGTGCTGAATCACTCCATGAGTTTGGTGCAGCGTATGGAGACCCTGCTGGCCCTGGGCAACAGCAGTGACGTCACCCTCAAAGTGCAGACCATCAACACGGACGAGGTGAAGGTGATCCAGGCCCACAGCCTGGTCCTCTCGCTGCAGAGTGACGTGTTTGAGGAAATGCTGCTCAGTCGCAACGGCAGCGCGGTATTTTTGAGGGAGACGGCCGAATGCGCAGCCGTCTTTGACAAGTTTGTCAGGTGAGGGAGACTCGCGGTTGTGATCGTTTGTTCAAAGACTGAGCTGTAGAGGCGTTTATAGTTTCCACAAGTATGAAGTTCCGCAGTATTTTGGATGCTCCAAAGGGAAAGGCAAATTCTTGGGAAATATTCTAAAATTATTCTTGCCGTTTGTGGCTTACAGTTAAAAATCGCAGAGTGTGGGTTTATTCAGTGAGTCAGATGTGAGAGGAAACAAATAAGTAGCATGACTTGCTGAGAGGTATTTTGTATGTATTTATTTGAAATGTCCTTAGATGACTATTCCAGCTGTGTTTTTCTCTTGCAGGTATCTGTACTGTGGTGACATCTCAGTGCGGCTGGATCAGGCCATTTCTCTGCACAAGCTGGCCAGCAAGTATCACGTGTGGGATTTGCAACAAGGTCTGACCCAGTATATGACCCAACATCTGTCTAGTGATTCGCCCACGGGCCATGTGATCGGTTGGTACAACTACGCGTTGCAAATTGGGGACGTTGTCCTGCGGGACAGCTGCCTGCAGTACCTTTCCTGGAACCTGTCGTCTGTGCTGCAGAGCGGAGAATGGGGCTCCATCAGTGAGGACCTGCTCCTCTCCTTGCTCCAGCGCTCTGACCTCATTCTGCAGAGTGAGCTGGAGCTTTACGAGGCCCTGGAGGCCTGGATTAGCCAGAACAAGCCTGTCAGTTCGACGATCGAAAGCGCCTTAAGGGCTGTTCGATACGGCATGATTCCCCCTCAGCACCTCTTCCGTCTTCAGAAGCAATCCCCCCTCCTTCAGAAGCATTACGAGTCCATCCGGGATCTACTCTACCTAGCTTTCCAATTTCACTCGGCTTCACCTATACAATTGGCCAAGTACTTTGATGTCAACTGCAGTATTTTCACCCCGCGTAACTACCTGTCCGTCTCCTGGGGTTCCCCATGGCTCCTCAATAACCCCACTCGCGATGACCGCAGCTTTAGCTTCCAGACCCAGCTCGGGCCCAGCGGCCATGACTCCAGCAAGAGAGTGACCTGGAACGCCCTTTTCTCCCCTCGCTGGCTCCCACTCAGCGCCAGGTCAACCTACACAGAGATGGGCGCCATGCAGCCCACACGCACAGATGCCGGTCGACCCCGCATCATCGTAACACCTGCCACCTCTAGTCCAGACTTTGCCGGCGTGAGCTTCCAGAAGACGGTGATCGTGATGGCAAGGCAGCAAGGAAAAGTGGTGGTTCGGCACGTCTACAACTTCCACCAAAGCACAGAGGAGGCCGGAGACTTCCTGGTCGACGCCGACCTGCAGAGACGCGTGTCAGAGTACCTGATTGACAGCTCCCTCTATCTGCACGTTGTAATAAAACCTCTCTACCACTCTCTCATTGTGTCAAGGAAGTAAACGCCTGGAATGTGGTGTGACGTTATCGTTATACACCCTGCACCATCATTCCAAAGAAATCTCATAGCACGTGTTTAGGCATCCAGTGACGGGTGTGATCTCTATTTTGCACGAAGCTACAAGGAAGCTTTTCCAATATAACTCCTCAGAAGTGATGGTCACAATGATGATGCTTTTTTTTTTTGAGTATTTATGCATACTAGAAAAAACAGAACAAAAAAAATCTATTGTACTGTATTTGTTCAGTTATTCTGTAGTCAGGCAGTTTGTTCCTTGGATGTATGTGATAGTTAATGTTGTTTGCAGAGGTACTGTAGGAATTTTTATTAAAAAAAACGTGTTTGTTTTGCATTTCACTATCTAGCAGTGGAATATAGATATTTAGTTCATTACACCTATATCCTGTTCAATCCTGCAATATACTTGTTAGTTGTTTACATAACAAAATGTGTAATTTGAAGTGCAATCCCACTTGTATGCTCTGGATGATTTGTATGACAGTGCGTCCTCTATTTCTTATTCATTGTTGTACCCTCGTTTTATCTCCCTTTTAAATAAACTGTATGTGTAAGTATGTGATTTTTGTCCTAATACAACTAAAAGATTATTGAAATACAACAACTAAAAGGCTGCATTGATTAAATTACAAACACAGTGGCTTATCTTACTGTAGTTAGAATTGTTTGATTAGGGTGCTAATTGTTAAGAAAATGGTATCGCTTTATTTGCAGAAAAGAGTGCAAACCGAATTCAAACTACCTCTCCCATGATGCTTTGCACGAGGCAGGAAATACGTCACCGCGCCGTTGAAACCTTCAGCTGTCAGACTTTGGCCACCCTAAAAGTGCAGGTTTTGTTAGCAAACTAACTCGAACTGTTCAACCCGCGGCGACTTTGTTCAAAGTTGTGCATTCGTCTGCGTTTCGATCGTGTAACGCTCGAGCGGTTGATTGGAGCGCGAAGATTTGCACCGCGACGAACCGCTCAGTTTTAATCGCTGCTAGTTTTTGCACAAGCCAGCGATCCTGTAGCGGGTGTAAGGCTAGATGCAGGGAGGGAGGGAGTAAAAAAAGGCAAAAGTCTTTGTGCTTCCCTTCCCCCTCATCAAAGCAAAGGGGAAATGTCTCTGTCTAAAGGAGGTAAGTGTTTTTTTCCCTAATCTTTTTTTTTTTTTTAAACAACCGTGCATACGTTTTGAATGTCGAGGTGCAGTTTGCGTTGAAGTAATTTAGCTAGCCATGTTGGCGAAACGTAACCTTGCCAGGTGGAAAAGCTGCATGTATGAGAGGAAGAAAAAAAAAAGAGCAGCTAGCCAGCATGTCTTTCGTGCTTTTCTATCATTTCTGAGAGTCTCGGGACATGCTGCTGTCTGCAGGTATTCCTCATAGACCCAATGGCGGTGTGCTACGTTATATATCTTTTTTATCATTCACGGTTTAGCTACGTGCTACGGTCGCGGCTCCCGTGTTGTGGTTAGCTAGCGCGTCATTTCCACGAGCGTTAAGGGACTTTTGCCCAAAGCTGTAATTATCAACCAACTTCTCCCTCAGCGGGGTTAAGTTAACTTGGTAAAGGGAAGCACATCGCGACCACAGGTGTTTTTTTCTTTCCAGGCCTCCTGCCTCGCGACTGGTCAGTTGGTCTTCTGTCCGCTCGCTGCTGCCGATGTGTACTTTTTTTTTGTTTTTATTTAAAAATATATATATATATTTAAAATATTAAAACCGGCGCAAATGCAAAGGAACCACGGCGCTATCGCATCTTTTTATTTTTTACATGTTTATTTTTTACTTCCGCCAGCGAGTCTGTGCGGGGTAATTAATCACTGCGGCGTTTACACGGTCGAATAAAACACAACTTGGGAAGCGAAAAAAAAATCAAGGTCCTTACTCTGCGTCACATGCACACAAGCATACACACACACAGACACACACACATGCACACACACACACTAGCGCGCGCGCACGCACGCACACACTGCATGACGATGATGTCAATTTACATTTCAAGTTCACTGCTTGTGCTGTTACACAACCATACTAGCGTTACCATGGTGGGGAGTACACACGCTGCGTGGGTCTGCCCGGGAACAGCGCCTCTGCCCCGCCGGGGCGAGTTGTGACTCGCGGGCCCGAGCGCGAGCCTCTCTCTTTTGTTGACAGTTCAGAGACAGCAGAGACTCCATAGCTGCCACACAGGTTTCTGGGCTGTGATTACTGGCTCACACACTCACCAAAGCGCAGGCCGATCTGTGTGGGAAAAAGTTTACGTTCTTCTCAGTTGGATTTATATATATATATATATATATATATATATATAATATATATATATATATATATATATATATATATATATATATATATATATATTTGTTATCTTTTTTTTCACGAGGAGTGCATCGTATGGCTGCAGTGGGCATTGCTGAGGCATGTTTTGGAGATTGGATTCTCTCTTATGGTGCTGATATGTGGTTGTGTGGAAGATTATATGTGCATGAGTCATCCTTTTTTCTGTCCATGGACTTGCTCGGAGGCTGGAGCTTCCTGATGGTGACTCGCCGCACAGCTATTGACACTTTGATCTAATGCACGATCCGGGCATTCTTTTTCGCATTACTTGCTGCGCTGTGGATAGTTTCCTTAGAACATCCTCTCGGTTTCCGAGACTTACTGCGTTTCCTTTTTTTCGAGAAGACGACCAACTGGCAGCGACTGTCTGTGATGGCTGTTCCTGGTAATCAGTGAGAAGACGCAATGATTCAATATCACCTTTAGCTTAAATAATCTGTTGTGTATACAACATATGTTGAATGCAACTTGTGCTGCACTTAGTTAAAAACATGGTTTGAGTGCTTTTGTTAACATAACCGGTAAATTTCATGATGTTGCATAAATACTTGCTATCTGTGTAGTGTTTTTACTTTGACTGCAGCAGAAGCCAGTGTAACTGTACCAGCCTGCAAGTTCAAGGACCAGGCAGGTCTTTGCAGCAGAGAGCTGTTGTGAATCCGGCCTCCATTGGTCTTAACGAAGGGGGGGGGGGGGTTGAGCAGCAAGCAGGAGCCAAGTGAAGTGACATCATTTCTCCCAAAGGGTCCTGACAGTTGTTGCGTTTTTTTTTTTTTTTTGTAAGCGGATGTGTCCAGTCTGACTGGCTGTGAGTCATGTCCCACAGAACACTCCCTGCTCCGGGGTCAGTGCACACGTGCACACACACACACACACACACACGCACGCGCTGCTACCTGAGAGGAGCGACTACTTCAACTCCACGAACGTTTCCGGAGTGGATCTGTTAAGCAGTAAGCCCGCACTAGTCGCTACCGCATTAGGATTTGTGGTATTTTTAGACATCTGGAACAGCGGCGCGAGAACGTCGGACGAGCGTTTCGTGTCCTCCGCTGATTTTGTGCCATCGAGCAAAAAGCTCCTATTAAGTCAGGCCAGTGGAAGCGCTTTATCCCGCGCAAAGGAAACGCAGAACATCTATTTTGGGGCCGAGCGCGTGCAAGTAAATCACACTTGGATCTCGCCGCCGCTCGTTTGTCCAGACGCTGTCGGCCTTTTTTTTGTTTTTCTCAGGGCGGCAGCACAGAGTGTCACCTGTCTGACGCGTCCACAAAATCTTAAAATCTTCGTGAAAAACTTCACTTCCCTTCCAGCTTAATCTAGCAAGGAGGGGTTTACCCAATCGCACTTCCTCCGCGCTGGAGTATTGTGACTCACTCCATGGCAAACACAACCTCGCAGTAACAACGAGAGCTGTTGCATTTGTTCCCGAAATGAAGGTGCTGGTGCATTAAACCAGTTTCTGTAAACCGGTGTCGAATAATCGTTCCGCCTGGCCCTCGTCCTGTGTGCAACAGGAAACAAGCAGCCCGTCTGTCGTCATATCCAACTGGGTGAAGCCGAGGCGCACGCACGGATAAAGGTCACCTCCTCCTTTCCCCTCCACCTTGCAACAAGAGCAAACACGCGGGACACAAGCGTGTGGAGGGGAGCTGAGTCGGTGTTCCTGTGTTGCTTCTCGTGGGCCCGGGAGCTGTGTCCTTTTTGGCAGCGACTCGTGGCCTCTTGTGGGAAGTCCCAGAGGCTGCTGGTAAACGGTGTTTATGAATGGAGTGCTGTCACCGGCCCAACCCACAACCGCTCCCGCAACTGCACAGTTCACGGCGCCAAACACCCGGATGTTGACTAAAATGTGAGATAAACATGAGATGGGGACATAAGAGGAAAACATGAAGGGGGTGGGGGAAGCTTTCATCATTGAGTTGATAACGGTTGTGATAAAAGTAAAAAAAAAAAGAAATTCCTCCTGTTCATTCCGTTTGAGTCATCATACCAATGTCTCTTAGTCATTTGGTCCACCTTGTGCCTGTTGCAGGGCCTCAGCTTTGAGGACACGTAAAATCTCCAGAAAAGATAACCGGCCATTTGCTGCAGTTTGTATCGGAGGTAATTTAGAAGTTGATTTGTGACCTTAAAAAGAAAAGAAGAAAACCCCATAGTGCATTAAAATCCCCTTTCATCAGACCAGTGTGGCTGTTCATAAACGAGCCCATTTAGTTCGCACCTGATTTAGGTCTCTGTTGTGGCGAAGCTTGATTTCCGCACTCCGAGCGACACCGACGTGGTAAACCCGAAAGAGTCTGCAGATGTCTGTTTTGCCTTTTCTACGAAACGCTTCATTGAACGCAGTGTGTCTAAGATGGAGCCGAGGTGGTGATTGTGCTTCTGACTTCCTGTCTCCAAGGGAAGAAGAAGCCAGCGCTGAAGCTGTCCAGAGTAGGCTTTGAACAGCCCCCGCCAGCAGCAGCAGCGTAAGTTTGTATTTTTAAATATGTTTACGCGGGGCATATTGACAGCAGCAGAACCAACCTGAGAGGGCCTCAAAATCAGACCCACGGGACAATATATTGCAGCCATGTCACATATATGTCAACCGGACATGCAGAAATGTAGCACTGACTTGGATCAATGTTCTACTCAAACGGATCCAATAGATCGCACTAATACACTTGTACATTGTCTCTCAATGTCCCACAACTGACCATTGTGACATTAAAAAACTGGCTGCACACTGTTGCTCGTGGTCTTACCTGCTTTTAACTCTCTGCAGGCCCCCTCGAGATCTCGACTCAAAAGCTGATGTCACAATTGGAGATCAGGTAGAGACATCTGTCTTTTCCTCTGAAACATTCTGTTCTGTTTTGTATTCGTTCTGTGTTTTGTTGTTGTTTCCTGGACGCACTCATCAGTGTGACTCCGCCCACATGTCCAGAGTTTGGTTGTGAACGCCGATGAATTGGAGCTGATCGAAGAGCTGGGCCGGGGAGCGTACGGCGTCGTGGACAAGATGAAGCACGTGCCCAGCGGTATCATCATGGCGGTCAAGGTGAGCGGCTCCTCGGGTCACCTGATCTGCAGAATGCACCGTGCTTTGTTTTTAAAAATAGCGCCATGACTCATAGATGCGTTCAACATGTGAGCTCAACTTGTGGACCTCTGGATGACAACGTTCCCATTCATGACATGTTGTATTGAGAGTTAAGGGGGGTGTTTAGGATGAGGGACACCGTTTGATTAAAGCTAAGCCCGCCCACCCACCGTCGGCCCAACGTGCGGCGTTTGTCTCCCCAGAGGATTCGAGCCACGGTAAACACTCTGGAGCAGAAGAGGCTTCTGATGGATTTGGACATTTCCATGAGGACAGTGGACTGCTTCTTCACGGTGACCTTCTATGGCGCCCTCTTCAGAGAGGTGAGTAAAACTATGACTTGTGGGAACTCCTGTGTGTGTGAAAGAGAGAGAGAGAGAGATCATCTTGCTTTGTTTCATTCAGGGGGACGTTTGGATCTGCATGGAGCTGATGGACACCTCTCTGGATAAGTTCTACAAAAAGGTTAACGAAAAAGGCAGAAACATCCCCGAGGACATCTTGGGCAAGATCACAGTAGCTGTACGTCCGGTCTCATATTTTGCATTATATGCGTCAACATATCGAGTGTGTTGCATGTGGATCTAAATGAATGTTCACATAAGTTAGAATGTTCTTTTTTTACATTAGTTTATACATTGTTACAGTTGTTTTCATTTCTTTTTGTGTGTGAAGTAAAACATGTAATTTCTTTTTCAATCTAATTGTTTTCAGTTTCTGGCGATTCTATCTTCAGCAATCCCCCCCCCTTTTTAGTTAATTTTCTCTCTCTCGCCCCCCACAGGTTGTCAAGGCATTAGAGCATCTGCACAGTAACCTGTCAGTGATACACAGAGGTAATCAGATAAGTATCCTCCCCACGGCTCAGTTTCGTGTTGACGTTTCTCGTTGTTTTTCTGCTCGTATCGTTTTGCTAATAACTTCTCTCTCCAGATGTGAAGCCCTCCAATGTTCTGATCAACACTCAGGGCCAAGTGAAAATGTGCGACTTTGGCATCAGTGGCCACCTGGTGGACTCTGTGGCTAAAACAATGGACGCAGGATGCAAACCCTACATGGCGGTAAGTCGGAGGGGGCTCCTGTTATTGGCTAGTAGAGATCTGGGAAACTGGCTGAGGGATTTCCTTTTTCTAAAAAAACAAAACGAATGAATGGAAATGCACAGTCCAGGAGGATATTAGAGTTACTGCACACCTAAACATATTTTTGGGGGGTCCAAACAAAATGCCTGTATTTTCAAATATTATATAAAATTGAGTTGCCAAACATCTTGTTTGCATGAAGGAATTTAGGCTCTCAAAACTTTTAATTCTTGCAAATGTTTAATTCACACTTCTCTGCTTATTTTTATTGTCAGATATTTTATCCTGTTTTATGATAACTGTTCAAATGCTTTTCAGATAGTGTTGGTTCTTTAATATGTTGCCTTCATTTCTATTTCAGCCCGAGCGGATCAACCCTGACCTCAACCAGAAAGGCTACAGTGTCAAGTCAGACATATGGAGTCTTGGTATCACCATGGTGAGTCATGTTGGATCTCAAAATGTGTCTCTTCCTATCATTTGTGATACATTTGATATATTTCTTTCAGTTTCCCCCATAACAGTGATTATATGAAATGTGTCAAAGTGTGTTACGAGGAGTAGCCAGCAGTGAAAGTTGCAGTAGCGCCGAGATGGAAAAGTGGCAGGTGGCGTGTTCCGATCCCGGAACGGCGTGTTCCTTTGTCAGAACGTCATAAACCGATCACATGCAAATCCCATGTAAATGATAGCTTTTGCGACTGTGTCTTTTTGCAGCCGAAGACTTGAAACATGTTGGAAAATGTAGTATTAGTCACATTCAAAACACACGTTTTCATGAGATCAAATGGGAAAATACACTGATATGAATTCTATTTATCTTGGTGGAAAATGGTGACACATTGAATCAGACTGCCGATCACCGAGACTGACATTGTTCATGTGATGGGAACGTGTCGTGATTCATATTGCCGTGGCAACGCCAAAACAATACAGAGGAACGTATGTGTTGACCGTGCGTGCTTCGAAAAATTCTGTCTGACTACATACACACTCGTTGCTGCCATTGATTAGTCAAACTGGCTGCGATAGGTTATAAAAACAGAATCCGTCTTATCTTCCTTTCTAAAGCATCGCATTAAGCCAAAGAAGAAATTACAGAGATAAAAAAAAGATAATTTTATTTAAGCTGCCGTGTTGTGCTCATTTCTCAAAACATGCAAGGGTTCTGCATGTGGATGCGGAGGGGAGCGATGCCGTTATAGCGCTTTATGCCACCTGCCACTTTTTCGAACTGGTTTCTATTGTGCCTGCTCTCCGTTCAGCCTTTGGTGGGTCCACGCTCGCAACCTAATAAACATTCAAACTCCAATAATTAAAAGATGATTATGATTATCACATTATAAGAGAGATCTGCACGGTGTTGGACTTTGTGTTGCAGGTGGAAGTGGACGCTCTCTAGCTCTGTCCTCTGGCTCTACCGTGCACAAACCTCCTCGTTAAATCCTCCCTGTCTTCTAGATCGAGCTGGCCATTTTGAAATTCCCCTACGACTCGTGGGGAACCCCGTTCCAGCAGCTCAAGCAGGTGGTGGACGAGCCGTCTCCGCAGTTGCCCGCCGACCGTTTCTCCCCCGAGTTTGTAGACTTCATCTCCCAGTGGTGAGTCTCTCGCACGCTGACGGCCGGTGTGTCGACATCCCTCAAAGCGACGTGCCTCATTCACGTCGTTCAGTGGCACTGAGGCCCAGCAGGGGGCAGCGTTTGCTCCATTGTTTGCTGAAAGAGGAAGAGCTGGTGTCACTTGACTGTCTTTTGTGTTTTTATAGGAAGTTCTCACACACACACACACACACATACACACTGAAATGTCCTGCTTTTCTCACTTTTGTGTTTTGTTTTGTGTTTTTACAGCTTAAGAAAGAAGCCAAATGAGAGACCCGCTTATACAGAATTAATGGTACGTATTTTTTAAAATGCCTTTTCTCTTAATTAAGCCAAATATTATCAGGTGTCCTATTATTAAGTCTCCCATGCCAACATCCCCCGTCGTACAGGTCAGTTTCCTCTGGCTCTTGGTCGTTTGTCCACTAGAGGCCAGACTTACCCAGTTAACCAGGCGACACCATGGCGCGTGCGTTTCACATCACTGGATCATTTGACGTTGTGTTTTCTCTCCTTGTTTCGACGCAGCAACATCCCTTCCTCACCATGCACGACTCCAAAGACACAGACGTGGCCAGTTTTGTCAAGGTCATCCTGGATGACTGATGGGCTTCCCCCTGCGGGCCTCGGCCCATCAGGTTAGGCGGGACGTCTCAGCAAACAAACCAATGGCCTACTTTTTTTTTTTTTTTTTTTAAATTTAAAGTTTCTTTTTTTTTACTCACTGGAATATCCGACTCTGAGGCACCCACACACAGTGGGGAGGGTGGGGGGGAGGGTACCCAAAGACTGACTGACCGCAGCATTGGAGAGGACAGACTGGTGGTAATATGAACTTGTACGCTCAAAAACAACAACTGGAGAGGTTAAATTTGCTCCTCCAAGCTTCCTGTGTGCAGTAGTCAACATGACAGATATGAACTGAACCAGATTCGCTTTGGTTTTCTTTTGTCTTGTTGCTCCTATTTTTTCGCCCTACAGCCCCTCTGTATCTCTCTCTCTCTCTCTTTCTTCAGAACGGACAGAGCCAGCCATCATTTCTATGTGACACATATTGTATAAATACTTTGAATATCATCTGCAAAACCAACAGTTAGTGTATGTTGTTGTGTATTGAAATCTATATTTGCGTTCGTATGTTTTCTCTTTATACATCTATTTTTTTTTTTTTGATACTGTCTATCGTCGACATGTGTGAACTTTACCGGACCGGGGCCTTATGACATCAGGTAAACGGTTCAGCCTGATCCTGCCCTGAGGTGGTCAGAAGACTCCAGAGCAAAGATAAAACGCGTAAGAAATGTCAGTCATAACGCAGGAATGTAAAGCATCCTGTTCCACCTGATCCGATTGGGATCCAAGCAGAGGGCCTTCATGCAGTGA